TCATTGTAGGGTCTGCCCTGCTGTCCCCGGATCATGCGGGTGGCCCTCCTCTGGACCCTCTCAATGTTGTCCACATCCCTCTTGAAGTGGGGTGCCCAGAACTGGACACAGTACTCCAGCTGTGGCCTGACCAGTGTCGCGTAGAGGGGGAGGATCGCCTCCTTGGCCCTACTTGAGATGCACCTGTAGATGCACGATAGGGTCCGGTTAGCCCTGCCGATCGTGACCTCGCATTGTCGGCCCATGTTCATCAATGATGACTCCAAGATCCCTTTCTGCCTCTGTGCTCTCAAGAAGGGAGTTTCCCATCTTCTAAGTGTGCTACCGGTTACTACTGCCCAAGTGCAGCACCCTGCACTTGTCAGTATTGAAACGCATCCTGTTTTTGTTAGCCCACCCTTGCACCTATCCACGTCTTTCTGCAGTCTTTCCCTCCCTACTAGCGTGCCCACCTCTCCCCAAATTTTGGTATCATCAGCAAATTTGAACAGGTTGCTTTTCACCCCGTTGTCCAAATTGCTGATAAAGAAATTGAACAGTGCGGGCCCAAGGACCGAGCCCTGGGGGACTCTGTTGCCCACTTCCCCCCAGGTCGAATATGACCCTCCACCACCACCCTCTGAGTACGAGGTTGTTACATCTCTGGGCCCTTCCTTCCTGAAGGCTCCTTCCCCTTCGGTTGCTGGCAGGGAACTGAACTTCCTGGTCCCAGCCCTAGGGTTTATATGGGCCTAGGGCCCTGCCTCTTCCTGCCAGCTAACCAGGTACAGGTGCGACCAGTTCACTCATTAGCCAGTTGTCATGGCAACCTGCACCTGGGCTCTTACCTGGTTCTTTATATTCCCTCCCTCGGCAATCTCTGCTCTAAGAGGAGCAGGCAGCTCAGTGCCCTGTGACATGCACATACCCCCGGTTGACGACCCCTGCCATAGAGTCTTACTTTCTCTCTGAATTTTCAAAACAGTAATAAGGAGTAAAACGATAGGCAAGAATTTACAGGTAAGTTTATTCCTTGTACTAGGCAATACGTATTTATTTTCAGGTAAATTAAAAGTTAAATATGTTGGGTAACAAATAACAGTAATATAGTTAAATCTGGCCAGTTAATTACTGAGATAACTCAACCTTATTGTTTTATTCATCACTGCACTGAATTCCTGCCAAAGTCCTGTTCATTTGTACACAAAACACTTTGGTCAGTTCATCATCTGCTGAAGTGTAATTAGTAATTTTCAAATGTGCAATGGATTTTGGGCCTGATAATTATTTGGATTAAAGGTACTGAGCTACACCTGTCAAGTCAGCTGATGTTGACAAAACATTGGATACTTTTCAGTTTTTCATGGCTCAGTAAGATATAGGCAGTCAGCTGTTCCAGTATGCAGAATTCTCTTCTGCTTTGGTGATGAGTGCATGTAAGTGTGCAAAACAAAGGTCTTTAATTATTTTACTGAATCAAAAATCACATAATTTTTAAACAGCACTGATTTTTTTTTTTTTGTATATTGTGGTTTTTGTGTATAATCATCTAATTTTCATGTATCAAGTCAGAATGCATCCAGCCCGCGCACAGAATTTTTTTGTAATTGATTGTTAAATATTCATAATGAAGAAAGAAATATTTCTTTACTGTGCCTTGACATGGGGTCTTACAATGTCTTGCACAAAGTTGAAAATAACTAGCTGCTGATAATTATACACCGATGGATATTCAAGCATTATTACCAGTCCACTTTGAGTGAGAGATTAACCAGATTTTACTCTAGTATTAATTACCATTTTAGTTCTGAGGATGTTCTACATCCATAAAGTGACTTAGTCACATCCTTGCTACTTTAAGTACCTATATCCAATATTAAGGTTTCACAGAGGGGCTCTGACCCCCTACTCAGCTGCTTTTAATCTTGTAGGTACTTAAAGTCCTTTGGTGCTGAACTTTTCTTCCAGTGGGCATGTGTGCAACCTCTCAAATCCTGATGTACCCAAGCTGTTTGGCATCTACAGCCTGACAGTATTCTCAGTCTAGGCATTGCACCAGCTCTCTAGTCTGTGGCACCTGATTATCCAATAGACATGTTCTGAAAATGTCTGCTGGATCAGGCCAGGTAGGCAAGCATGTTTTAATGTGTCCCACTTTACCCAGTGGTTTAGAGATTAGGCCATTCACTTGGGAACTGAGACACACTATGACATCTCAACTCTTCCTGATTTAGAATGATGTGGATCTAGGTCTTTCACGTCTCTTGGAAGTACCCTAATAGCTAGGCTTTTGGTATTCTTAGGTGAGCCTTTTTAATTTCATCCTGTTGAAGCTGTTAATGCTCTGTATTAATTATCAGATATTCATGAGGTGAGGATGGAGAGGTTGACTCTTCAGCTCAGTGGTCAGGGAGAGTTATGATCAAGTTCCTGCTCATATGAACATCTTACGTATACAAAAGTGGAACAGCTTCAACAAGAGAGAATGTGAGGAGGTCTGGCCTGAGAGCCAGTTAGTTCAGCCATTGTGTTTAGGACACTTTCCAAAGGTGTGAGAGATCTAGGTTCATGGACCTGTTTAAAGTGCTGCACTAAACCTAATGATTAATGCTCTGGTATTTAACATAACTTCCAGACAAGCTCAGGACAGACATGAGTAAATGCATGCGTTTTGTTTGCAGAATGGGATCATAAACAAACTGTGTTGCTATATCTGTTTGAAAATTAGGCCCTGTGAGTCTTTTTCTTTTCTGTAATTTGTAATGTGGTTTATTCCAGCACCCATTTCATTGAAGGGACTGTATTGCAATTACTTGAGGAAGATGATTGCGTGATGGGTGTTCAGTACAAGGATAAAGAAACCGGAGATACTAAGGTGAGATTGCAGATTTCACCGTTCCGTGGTGTATCGTAGTCACAGATACAACACTTAAGAAGTGGCCATTTCAGAATGCTGATGCATAATTTCCTAAATCATTAGGAAAATAAAGGAGGTTTTAGTAAAGAGAGGTAGTGTTACCTTATGGATGGAGTGCAAGCCTGTGATTTTGGGCAAGTTACTTCATTATCTGTGTGCTGATTTCTTTTTTCTCCCATACTTAAGTGTACATTTGTAAAATGTACAGCAGTATAGAGTAGTATGTTGCATTAAGAAATTTGCACAATTTGTTTAGGTGGAAAAATAACTAATTTCAGTCACTATAGAAAGTTGGAAGTTTCCTTGGATTTTTCCAGGTCCATCCCCTTAAAAAGATTGCAGTTTTAGTATCAGAAGATCTGTTTGTTTTCTGATCGTATTGTACATTCAGATGACAGGATTGATTTTTGTGCTTTACAAATTTGGTGGTTTTGCAGTTCTGTGCCCTTGCAGCTTGGTGGGCTTGGGAGAGCTGGGGAAGCTGGTTTTATTCTGTAACCTCTTAGAAGTCACTCTGCTTACTACAAAAGATGTTTTTTGACTAGTTTTCCCATATCCTAAGGGAGATTGGTATCCATCCTTTTGGCCTGCTCAGAAACAGCACAAAAGTGACTGAATCCCACTTCCTCTGTGGAAGGGAGACCTTTGCAGAGAGAATCCTCATCTAGGCATAGATGTGGAGTCATATTAGACATTCATATCCAGTAAACAAAATACTGTCCAGCAGCATTCATGAAATATGACCTTTGGTTTTCCTCATTCTTTATAGCCTGGAATCTGAAAAAGTAAATTAAACTTTAGCTCAGAAACTTAATGTATGACATATAATGACAAGGGATTAGAGTCTGTCATGAGCTAATAGCTGCTAAATTAAAATAAATGACAAGGTAAAAAGCATATGCTTATTTCTCAAGGAAGGAAACATTTATCTTTAAACAGTTTATCATAATGGCCTTATTTTATTATGGAAAATAATTATTTTAGGAGGAGTTGGTTCAAGGTATGATGATGCAGTAGAATGTCACGTAATATACTTTGTAATGGTGTACTGAATCTGCTTCATCTTCTTAAAGGACAGCTAATTTAAAGTGCAAGGTTTTAGTGTACCTTTAATCTGAGCAAATCAGTTTACTCCTTGTCTATACTTCTAACTCTTGTTAAGGAATCTTTACTTGCTTAGAAGCAAGCATCCTTTTGCAATTTTTCCACTTCTTTTATTAAAGACTTAGTTCATTTCAAGCATTACTCATTAGTGCCCCTTAAAGAAGAAAAATTTTAATCTGTTTGCTACTGTGACTTATTTTTAAAAAATGGGGAGGAATAAAGAGAAGATGGCCATTATAAGGTTTACAATTAGCAATTGCTATAGTTTCTTATCTGCCTCTCATACCTATATTCTTATATGGGTCCTATATCCCCATATTGTCTAATTTCCTGTTTGGTAAAGATGAAGCAGATGAGTGAACCGATTTGTAAATTTCAGTCAAAAGGAATAATATATAGGTCAGGCAATGTTGAGATACAGGATAAAAAAGCAAAGGTATATATCACTCTTAGATGATTCTTTTCACTTCAAAATCAGTGAAATGTTGAAAAACATAGGCTTGAGGTAGTTTCATAATGTGTAGTTTGCTTTCTGGAAGCAAAAAGGAGGTTGTATGTACTCCATGTAATAGATCCAAATCATTGTGAATCAGTGTGTCCAAAATTAAATAAAAGGTGGCTATGCTGAATGAGTTGGATTATTTGTTCTAATCTTGCCCTTTGGTGCTTTCTAAAGAAATAGTAATTAATCTCTGATAGAACTTTTTCATTGGTTAAAAATTAGGGATGTAAAAGATTAAACTAATTATATTTATAATGCTTAAAGTTTACCATTTACCTCCAGGCTTGGTGCTGCCTGTTGTTGGGAGGCAGCGTGAACCCGAGCTGCAACATCGTATGGCTGCTGAGGCAGGGTAGTAACTAGCAGTTACCTGGGGTGCGGAGCTGGGCAAAGATGTGGCGGAGATGGCAGGGCTTAAATAGGACCAAGCACAGTGGTGGGACTGCACAGAGCCAGGTGTCGCCTGCCCTAATTCCACCCACAGGGGCTCCCACCTGCCAGGACAGCTGCACCACATTGTGCCATGCCCAGATGGTGTCTCCAGCCCAAGAGCACCCAGGGCCCCAAGTGGCACCTCCCTCCCACCCACCCCTGAGCTCCAGTGGCTGTTGCTTGGCAAAGACCCACAGGAGCAATCCCAGCCTGGGGGCATGTTGCAGCTGGACACGCATAGGATTGTGCCAGAGGCATCCACCTGAGGGCTAAGTGTCCTCTGCTAGGAGCCAGAGCACTGGGGCAAGCCTTCAGTTGAGCAGAAGTAGCGTGGTGCTGGCCCAGCTGCTGGCTGCATCCAGACAGTGAAGGGACTGTGCTGCTCCCTTCCCTATCTGGAGGCAGCCAGCTGCCGAGCCCTGCTGGAGCCGTTCCCCAGACAATCAGCAGCACCAAGCTGAGGACCCTGCCATCCCGCACTGCTGGCACTGCTGTGTGCCTGCTCTGGCGCACACACCACGCAGAGCCTGCTGTAGCTACAGGCTTCAGTCCCAGTTGGCAGTGGAATTTGCCGCAATCCCACATATCACCCTTGGCCCCAGCTCCCCACGCTGCCTTGCCCCTTTGTCATAGGACCATTTAACTGTTTAACCGATATAATTAGAATTTTTAGATGATATTTACATCCCTATTAGAAATTCATATGTAATTACTGTAGCCTACTGTAACCTGCTGTAATTGGTTATTTAATCCTTTTTTTACTTTATGCAATTTAAATTTCTTAAATAAAAATAAACTACAGCGGCAATGTTTCTCAGCTGTAAAGCTGCTGGTCTTTCTCAGTTGCTCATAATGCTCTCAGCAGAACTCTTATTAAGTAGGAAATGTTACAAACCCATCTTACTGCAAAGGAGATGTGGTATGGGGTGGTCCTTTTAAAACTGAGGTAAATGAATTCAGCTATTTTTTAATTATGCACATATTTACATTTTAATATCAGATTTAAAATTATGTGAAAACTAATATTTAGGTAAAATGTTACTTTATCTTTTTTGTGTGTTTGAACAAAATATTATTTTTATATTACAGGAACTCCATGCACCTCTGACAATTGTTGCTGATGGACTTTTCTCCAAATTTAGGAAAAATCTGATTTCCAATAAAGTTACTGTCTCATCTCATTTTATTGGCTGTATATTGAAGGTAACATCTCATATATATGACACACAAGAAGTGGGTATATCACTGCTTTTTTTCCAGGGCCTTGAAATTTAGTGACTTGCTTGCATGATTCATTGAATTTCTGCATAGATTTCCTAGGGTTCAGCTATGCCTTTTAAGGATTTAATCCATGTTGAGAAGAGAAAAGAAATGCGCCTTAAATAACTTCCTGGAAAAAATATGCCATCTGCCTTAGGGCGGGTATGGTTTCTGGTAGGGGAAGCTCAGTGGGAAATGGCATTAAGTAAAGTTTATTCAGCATGTAAAATCAGCATGCTTTTGTCTGTCTGTCAATCAGTGGATGAAAATGCATTCTTTGGAACATTTGATGGGGAACAGCTACTGTATGAAGTGGTGCAAGAGAGCTGGCTCAAATTGGAAACTGAGGCAAAGGGTAGATCCTAAGTGTACACTCCATAGTTTTGGCAGGTAGTGTTGTGAGTGTCTATACTCACAGCGCCCCTGTGGTGACAGTTCTCCTCCTTTCTAGAGCAGAACAAGGCCAGCTCAGAGACTGAAAGAAAGCCTTTGCTGCTACCCAGAAAATGAATGTAAATTTACCTGCACACAGGCAGATCAAGGATTTTAAAAGGGAGTGGGTGGTATGCTAGATGCCACTGGTTCTGTAGCTAAACCATTGTGGGGGGGTGCTGGAGGACACCCTGGGGGTAGGATTGACAGGGAGCAGGTGCAGGAAGAGGGATGTCTCTGTCCCTGGCCAAGCCTGGTCCCCTGTGCAGCTCTTCAGAGGGGTGCTTGCTCAGGGCTGCTGCACCCTTGTCTAGTCTCTGAGGGCCTTGGCACACGTTCATTTAATGGCATGATGGGATCTGTTTCCCGATCTTAACAATTACACCTCTTGCCATTATACATGTGCGTAGAAACACATGATTTTTGGAATTGGGGACCAATCCCAGTGCAGGGACAAGTAGAAAGTCAGGTGCCTGGTGAACTGGTGTGGTCCCAGGGCTGGAACTGGTAATCAGATGATTGTCAGTCCCAGACACAGGACTACACTGGAGCCAGTTAGAAATTCTAGGACAGTCCCAGGGCTAAGACCCACAATCAGCTGATTGTGGGTCCTAGCCCTGGGACCTCTCTGGGGTGGTCCCAGGTCCCCCAAAGTACACTTTAGCCTCACTGATGTACTGCTAAGGCAGGAACCGCATGGAGTTGTCAGAAGCTGTACAGACGTGTATATGCTCTGTTGGCTTCTCTGTGGCTGTTGCTGTTTTCTGCCATAACTTGAGAGGTGGCTTCATGTAGGCAAGGCCTTTTTCCAGGAGGCAGATAACCAGTCACTCTGATGCATATTTTTCTCTGCATGTGCAATCATAATTGCTAGTAATCAATGAGATTTACAGAGATTGAATGAGAATTTACCCTCATGGAACAGTTTAAAAACCAGTGCTTTTATTGCTGTCTTTTACTCAGCAGCTATAGTCTGTTCTAAACTCTGTCTTGAGTTCTGATCTTAAATGTTTTTCAACCAAATTAATTAGAATAACAATACACTTTGTACAGGAGCACCATTATCTTTCCTTTTCTATGGGTAAGAAGAGAAGTTAATTTGATAATTTTTACTTGTAAATTATTTGATATGTGCTACCCTCAGATTCTGTTTAATCTTTTTTAGGAAGATTACAGTTAATATAATCCATATATTCACGCCAACACACATACTCTGTTCTAGAATGTTTTAGGTCCTGGGTACTGAAATAGACTTAATGAAAGATGTGATTACAGAGAGCTACAAGAAGCAACAGTGATGGAACATGTTGCTTTGCTGGTGCACTGTTAACATTCATTTTTAAGGAATTGATCTCTGTTTCATTTTCTTCATTGTCCTTGTCTGTTACAGTTAAGGCCCTGTACATGCTTAATTTCCTGCAGTGTCAAATGCCATTGAAAAGCATATCACTTCATGGGAGTAATTTATATTGCAGAACATGAACCATGTATATGATTCTTTGCATGTTGAAGGCTTTTTGTAAAACCATCTACATTGTAGTCCCTGTCTCCATAAACTGGTAACTTCTTGATCCTTCCATTTTGTAAGCCGAAGTTTTGCCTACTTACTCTGTACCTAAGAGTGGCCCTATCTTGTTGAAATTAATACCAAGACCTTCAATGGATAGGTCTACATTGGATGAAAAAGGAAGGTCCATGAAGACGAAGTAACTTGGGTTTTAAATTTGATTACCTTGTCTTCACTGTTATTTTAACCCAAGTTAGTTAACACACAGTAGCCAAGCCAGGCTAACACTTCCTTGCAGTGTAGACATGTGTAGTGATTTCAGATAAAAAAATAAAAAAGGTGTCCATGGCCGTGTGTAGATGAAACGAGAGGCATGTGTGCACAATGCTTTAAAGTGGGCTAAACGCTTTTGCACTGTTTTAATGGTGTCAGTGTTTGCACACCTTGGCTGTATATTGTGCATTAATTCCAGCCGGTGTAGGAAATTCAGCGGCGTAATGCACCTTAAATTACTTGGGGCGCAGCAAACTAAACCTTCTGCCAGGATTTTGTTTGCTGCCCCTACAGCTGCGGAGCGAAGCACCGGGCTCCGTGCAGCTCCACGGCTCTGTAGGAAGCCCTGCAGGCAGCCTGGCAGCAGCCTGGGAAAGCAGGCTCTGCCCAAGAAAAGCGGCGAGCCTGATCTTTTTTTTTTTTCCCCCCTTGGAGCCTGCCTGCCTGCCTGAACTGCATGGGGACCTGATGCTTCTCTCTGCATCTGCGGTGCCCCCTGGGACTGCCCGAGCCAGGTGCCTGTGGGCGAGTGCAGCTGGGGCAGGGGCTGCCACTGCTGTGGACAGATGCACTAGCCTCCCTAACACCCCCAGCATAGGGACCACTCCGCCCACCAGCAGCTCGCCCTCCCCTCCCCGCTGGAGAGGCAGGGAAGTGTGCGGGGGTGTGTGCACAACATGGGGGTTTAATCAGCCCTAAATTGAAGCAGTGTTTTTTAAAATCCACAACTTCAATTTAGGGCCTCCGTTTCGTCTACACACAGCCCATAGTTCATAATGAATACTTTCTTTATTTGGTTTAACAAAAATAATTTTGATTTAACAAAGTTACAAGCATTTGAAAACTATGCACTACTGGTTATGGCTCTGATCTGAGAAGTTCTTGAACACATGCTTAACTTAAAGTATATGAATAGCTGATGAGTCTTCTAGTCTGTTTAAAGTTAAACAGCTGCTTGGGTACTTTCCTGAATTGGTGCCTATAGTAGAAAGCATAATTACATCTGCTTCCTCTTGCCTCTCTCCTGTTCATTTGAAAATAAATCCCATGGAAAAAACACTAAAGTGACCTGTATTGTATATGCACACAAATATGCTAAAATATAAAAACGAAAGATTAAATGAACTATATAACCTATTATACCGTTTAATAAATATTAAAATTGTCAAATGCAATGAAACCAAGTAAACATTGTTTGTGAAACTGTACCACATTAATTGCAGTTTTATAAAAATGGTTATACAGATAGTGTTAACATAAAATTTAATGAGAGATTCTGTTTGGATATAATGGAATTTAAAGCATATCAGGAAATGATTCTGTAAGAGGGCATTCTTTCACTCTTTTACTAATCCTTTTTTTCCTTTTTTTTAAAGGATGCACCACAGTTTAAAGCGAATCACGCTGAACTTGTTTTAGCTAATCCTAGTCCAGTACTAGTCTACCAGATTTCTTCAAATGAGACTCGAGTGCTTGTTGACATTCGAGGAGAAATGCCAAAAAATATCAGAGAGTACATGATTGAGAAAATACTTCCACAGCTACCTGGTAAGATTTTTGTATTTATATTCTTCAGAATTGTAATACATAGTTTACTAAATTGTGTGAGTTTTATTTGTTGCTGAAGTATTTATCTATAAGTATTAAGCCATCTTTGGCACTAGCTGTAGTTTAGATGAATGTACATGAATGTGCTTTTGCAGTTATAATTTATTTCACTTGGGGAAACTGGTAGAAGCTCTTCCAGCTGTTGCTCCTTTTTTCATGATATAACCTGCCCCTACATTAGGAGTGTTTGCCAGTCTAAGACTGCTAGTAAATACTTTCTCAAGCTGCTCTAGGCCTGCCTGCCGTATAAATTAGGTTGTCTAGAGACTGTGTCTCTGCTCTTGGGATGAAAACAGTTGTGAGACCAAGGAGAGGAGCTGTAAGCTGGCAGATGTGGCTCGGGCAACAAGCCCTAAAGCTAGTGTGATCTTGGAATGTGGAAGGTGGCACTTTTAACTCTGAAACGCTTGGTTTTCCAGGTGCTTAAGCTTTGCCTTTTCAGTAGAGATGCACCAATATATAGGTCCACATTGTATTGGCACCGATAAAAGGAAAATTGACATTATTGGCAATCAACTTTTTTGGCTGATAATGTAATCAATTAAATGCCATGTGCATGTGTGCAGCTGCAGCATGCATGCAGCCAGGAGCGTAGCCTGACAACTTGGAGAGCAGTGTCTGGCTGGTAAGTCGGGGAGGCGTGGGGGAGGGAAAGGGTATGGGGGGCAGATCAAGGTCCCTGTAGTGTGGGGGGGGAGTGGGACTAGAGCAGGGGAAGGCGCTGCACAGGCAGGGCATGGGATGGAGCTACACCTTGTCCGAAGGGCACGGTGGGGGAGTGGCTTCCGCCGCTGCGCACACCCTTGGGGAAGCATGGGGAGCATGTGTACCCTGGATCTGTTCACGGGGTGAGGGTGGGCTGCCTGCTGCATGCTCAGGGCTGGGGCTGTGCTGGGCTTTTCCCAGCAGGGGGGGCTGGGCCTGGGCTGCGCTCAGGGAAGGCGTGGGCGGGGTGGGTGGTGGCAGTACTGAGAGTGGGGGCTGTGGTGACTTTTGGGGTGGCTGTAGCTCCTCCTCCTAGTACCACCATCGCCTGATCCGGGAGCCTCGCTCTGTACCCCCGATACCCATTCTTTCCCCCACCTTTCTTCCACCCAACAGACTTACCAGCTGGACACTGCTCTCTAAGCTGCCAGGTTGCATGTTGGCAATCAGATCAGTATCGGCCGATCTGGCTGGTCAATAATCAGCCATTGGTATCAGCCCAAAAAATCTTTATCGGTCCACCCCTACTTTTCAGCCCTAAAAGGACAAGAGTGAATGATGTGTGGTGGTTTTATCTTGCCTTTGTATTTCCTAGCTCTCTAGTACTTGTGTTTCTTTTTGCTTGATTATACTTCTCACACCTCAAATAGTCTTCTGTTTTTATCTGCCAGCTTCCACATTCTTGATGGATTCTGGGCATTACTAAACAGCATTGATATTTCTTCAGTAATATTTTTGTTACTAGGTAGGACATCATATAGTCTGCATATGTAAATGCAACAGTAGAACTGAAATTTCGGAAGTAGCTATATGTTTTTTTGTAGATATTAGGGGAAGTAATTAGATATGCATTTGTCCATTTCAGCCTATTTAGAGGCTGATTTGGGATTTTCAGTTGCTATTGGTGAAGGCAGAGCTAGAATAGTAAGATTTAGTCTCCCTGAAATAGAACCTCTTTTGGCTCATCTGGAAATGATTGTAAGCATTCATATTTGAAGGAGGGAATTCACTGCACCCTTTTTTCCTGCCTTGGATATCCCTCGATGTTTTGCCTTAGTAATTATTCTAGGTTCTGATCCTGTGCCAATGAAGTCACTGGGAATTTTGGCAGTGACATTAGTGGTATCAGTATAGAGTCATTTGATATCAACAGGTTTAATGTGGACAACCTAATGTGTTGTCCATTCTGACTAAAATGCTAGAATTATTGCTAGTACAGAATTTTTGCCTGATCTGTACAGCATCCTGAGTGGTGAGCTTCCTTATTTTTGTGAGGTGTTAGGTATCCTCAGTTCTCAGTCAACTCAATTGGGATTAGTGGCAGAAAGGATTGTACCATGACCTTCTATTACTTAAAAAGTTACAATATCAAGAAGTAGTTCAGTTTACATCTGTAATGTTGGCAACTTGGAAAGTTTACAACCCCAAGAGATTATGGTTGCTTCTTTGCCCGTTATTTAACTTGAGGACCCTGTATAAATCAGGTAACTAAATAGTCTGTTAATTTCAGAACATTTAAAAGAACCGTTCCTAATAGCTGTTCAGAATGATCGTTTGAGGACCATGCCAGCAAGCTTCCTACCTCCTTCGCCAGTCAACAAAAGAGGTATGTACTGGGCAGTAAGAACAAAAAATGTTTTTGTATGTTTTAAGGACAACTTGCCCAGTCGTGTTTGTTTTATCTATTGTGAAAATGGTAAGTTTAAACATATTTGTGTGTGTGTGTGCATGTTGAGCACCCATTATCAGCATACTAGTATTGATACCTAGAATTAAGGTTAACAGCTGGTTTATTTGAAGACATCCTGGTGTGTTTTAATGCGTGTTAGCCTATTTTAATGCGCATTAAAGTGTCAAAAACGTGCTTTCACTAATGTGCATTAGGGGTATGCAAAGCTTTGGATCGTGATTCAGATTCAGAGATGATTCGGAAGCTGAATCTACGAATCTGAATTGAATCGCAGGAAGCTTTAGGCTTTCTGAATTGATTCAGAGCTTCCGAATCTATTCAGAAAAGATTTGGAGATTTGGCCATAGGGTATAATCAATTAAATATTTAGAACTTTGTCTTTTGGCTGATTCAGATGAAACTTGCAGGGATGGTAGCCTCTGATGAGAGCATGACGTGTGCCAAGTTTCCAGGTGATAGGTGCAGGGGTTTCTGGGAAACTTCACCCCAAATTCTGAAAGCAAAACTCGTGTCACGTGTGTGTGTTAAGCCCAGTATGGTGCAAACTTCAGGGATGGTAGCTCTTACTGAGGCCACAAAGCCTGCCAAGTTTCAAGGAGATTGGAGCAGGGGTTTGGGGGAAACTGTGCCTCAAACTGCAGACAAGCAAAACTCATGACATGGGTGATACTGTGTGTGTTAAGGCGCAGCAGGGTGAAAGCTGCAGGGATGGTGGCCCCTGCTGTGGCCATGAAGCCTGCCAGCTGTCAAGGAGATCGGTGCAGGGGGAGTTTGGGTTCTGGGACCCTGTACGTCTAGCTGAGGTTTTGCTTGTCCACAGCTCGAGGTACAGTTTCCCCCAAACCCCTGCACTTATCTCCTTGAAACTTGGCAGGCTTCACCAGTGTTGCCCTGTGGGGTCAGGCCAACTTGCAGGATCTCAATATTGCGCTGTTAGGAGGGTATGACACAATTGCACACGTACAAACACACAAATCAGTTAGGTGCATACACACACACACTACCAACTCAGGCACATACACAACCAAGCCAGCCTTGGCACATGCCAATTCAAGCACATACACTATATACCCCAAAAGTTAGACAAAAATCAATTGTCCATACCCGCACGCTCAGTACACGTACACATCACTAATTCATATATCATACAACGACACACACACACACACACACACACACCAGTTCACACATACAACCCACTTACACATAAGTAAGTTTCTAACTTGGATGGCACGGTATATATGTGTGTGCTTGGGGTACCTGGGTTACTTGGGGGAAGATTAAGGTGTGAGAGAGAGAATTAAAGTGTAGGGAGTGAAAGTTGCCAGAAACAGGATTAGAACCGGTAGACTAGAGAGAAGCTAACTGAGGAACTGAGGCTTGGGTTTACTTAAGATCAAGTGTCCCCAGGGTTACTCAAGGTCACTGGTGCGTGGGGGGGGGAAAGAAGAAGAAGCCAGCAGATAAGTGGTGGAAAGGAAGAGACAGCCAGGAAAGAGAGAGAGAGAGGCAGAAACGTGGGAGCTTGGGGCTGGAAACAGGCTGACAGCTTAGAGACTAAGCGGGGGGAGGCAGATAAATGATGGCAAGGAGAAAACAGTCAGGAAACTGAAACCCCAAGTTGGGTTTTTGTCTAAGTAACAGGTTTATTAAACAGATAAAATACTACACAGCCCCATGAAGTTATTGGTGCACACACGCGCACACACACACACACACACACACACACACACA